GGAACAGAAACAGAAATCCTTTTCTCTCACGCCTTTTCCTTAGCCCTCCTTCCGTCTCACCGAAGACATTTCACTCTAGCCTAAGGGTAAAAAACCGTACCTTCCCTTTCTTTTTACGGTGCTGAATATGAACATAGAGGATGTAATGCGATTTTCAGATGAAAATAAATGTTTTGTGGTTTGGTTTATTTTTTTTACTGGGTAGAAAATAATTACTGAGCTAGCACAGCTCCACCTACAGCTGATAACTGAATTACATACAAGTGCCTGCTCAGGCTCTCCAGGAGCACATTTAGGATCAGGATACGTTATTAGGAGCCTATCATCCCAGTGGGCGAGGGCTCCAGTTCCCGGGAAATCATCACCCCACAAATCAGACCTCTCCCATTTTAAGTTAGCTCTCCCTTTCAAAGGGAGAAGAACAAGAAACAGCAAAACTTGACCGAACACAAGTGTGCCACGGTGGCTAACTTGAATGTTTCACATCATACATGTTTCTGCTTTCCCCACAGAAACCAAACAGCTTGCACACTACAAAGCCAGTTCATCCTGAACTATTAGTAACACCCACCTAATTACAGACCAGATCCGGGGAACACAAAAGGGCAGCATATGCTGATGATAATGCGGTAGAGCAAAGCCTACGGCTGCTTTCATCTTGATAAGAACAGGGAAGAAGCCAAAACTGAGGCCTCACCTGCAGCTTCAGGACCCAGTTACAGTACTGGCTGTCGAAGGCAAGGCTGGGGGGTCTGAAAGCGTTACCTAGAGTGGTTCTGTGAAGAGGAGAGGGAACGGACGAGATCTGAAAACAGCACAACTTTTTGCATAAGGAATTTGAACCTTTATTCACAGGGAAGTAAGGCTGCTATTTTCAGCAGCAAATGCAGCCAGGTTCTAGAACAAAGTACAACAAAGAGACAGACAACAGCAATGCACTGTCTTGTCAGGCAACATCACAGCATGAGCCTGTCCGTGTCAATCATGGATAATTCTCCTCACCCCCTGCCCAGACTTGTACACCTAAGCTGCCTTTCCTTCGTTTACCAGAAGAGGATTTAAAATCCAGACCTCTTCTGTACAGTAACGACACACGCAAACACGAAACCCTGGATACTCCCAGCTCTCCTCCTCTCCCCTGTATCAACCCAAACCAGAAGCCTCAGGGAGCACGTGCTTTCCACTATACCAGGCCATGGGACACAAAAAGAGGATTTAGAAGCCTCTGCTTGCAGCACCACAAGGGGAATATGAGACAACAAAACGCCATGGTCCAAAATAAAGAAATAAAATAAAAATCCAGGCTCCATCCCAAAGGAACTGTGTGGCCCTATCACCGCTCTGCAGTCTGCAGCACGCTTCCGAGTCAAAAATGGACACGAGACGACTCTGCTGCAGCCGGGGATTATGTAACCGCGTCCACCAGCACTGCGCTGCCAGCTCCGAAGCCTGGCTTTCTAAACCGAAGCCCTTGCTGCCTCCCCCGCTCCTCCCTGGTATTCAAAGGATACATGGAATTTCTACAGACTATTCAGAATCAGATTATCTGGAAAGCATAAGCGTGTTGGCTATTTATTAACATCTTAGCAGCTACCACCATGCCTAAAATTAAGTGGCACGCCAGAACTGGGGGTTGCGTACTTCAGCCTAGAAAAACCCTGCCAGTATTACAGCAGTCTTGCTTTGCTGAAGTGTGGTTTTTCTACCTCAGAGAAACCTGCTGAAACGCTTGAACCAACTACAGGGAACAACAAAACCGGGAAGAATCATTTAATATCTGCATAAACAGAAAAACACCCCAAACTGACCTTCAGGTTACATCCTCTCTTGGATAAGACTACGTATCATACAGTGATGTTACGTGAGTTTTCATTAAGATCTGCTGAAATAAATCAAACACAAAATACAGTACGATCCTGGAACGAGCTGGAATATAGAATTTGCAAAAATCTTCCAAAGGGAGATGATCAATTCTTCATAATCGGAAAGCCATCGACTTAAAAAGAACAAACAAACAAAAGCAGCAGGTAAATTTTGCATGTACACATTCAAACTGAAATAAAAGGAACATCAGCATTTTAGTACCCCAGAAAACCACGAGAAGCTATAATTTGGTACTGATAAAACATAAGGAAACAGCCATTTTTTTATGCTGCCCTTTTACAGCATCATAATTGCTGCCTACCATTAGGTTTAGAAAACAGAAAAAGGTTAAGCATGCTGTTCAGGTAAATATGACAGCCGCTCACTAATGAGAATAGAAGGACTTTCCAGTCCAAAACCTAACTTCCCATTTCTAATGAAGTTACTCCTTCAAAATTAACAGATATGCAAAACCTATAAATATTCAGATGTCCAACTCTGGGCTAAGTCAGCCCAAGAAAAAAAGCAAGCTTGTATCGTGTTTTACTTTAAACCTGAATTTAAGTTGTTCTGCATTAAATGCTATGTAATACAGCTTGAGCTACAAGTATTATCTGTACAACTCTGGACATTTCATCAGCTTGCAAGAGCTTAAGGCTCTGAGGTGGTATTTCTCAGCAGACACTTACTCTTGAGGAAAGTCTGAAGCTATACACATACCAAAATCAATGTAGATGAGCTTTGAGCAGAATCATCTTTTCTTAAAGATATTACATACTAGTTTCTTACTATGGAAAGATGAGAACTCTTTTTCCCCTATTAGTTACCAATGACTTGGCTATTTCACAGCTCCCTTGTGATTAAAGTAAAAATTGTTATAGGTCATCATCTCTTTAGCAGAAAAGAGAAAAAAGTAGTATCATAAGAACAATTATGACTTGAAAGCCCACACACTATTTAATAAATAAATAAATACATCACTTGACAAGGAAAGCACAACACATTTGAGGCTGTTAGAACCTTACTAACTGAAAATACTTTCAAGTATAACATGAGTTTTTTTGATGAGTTTGTCTATATTTGCAGTCCTGCAGAAGTAAGTCGAGACTTCATTTTATTTTGATTCGTAGAGCCATCTGCAAAAGCTTACAGGGCAGTCAAATGCCAAACTAACAAACTTACGTTACAGTAGTCACTTCAAAAGGAACACAGCCAAACGCGCATATTGGTTGAGATTCTTTTACTCTCTCCCTCAGTATGGGAGGCATAATCTTATGCTGTATTTAACACGCTCTCCTACGTCTCTGTGTACTCAGCACAATGCACAGGCAGTCCTTCTGAAGGACTTTTCTAGTCACTGACATTACTTCCTAGAAGAAGGACTGAGATGAACAGCCTACAAGCATCTATTTCTATATTCAATGCATCTACAGCAACTTTTCTATCCCAGGCTTCCGTTTCGTCTTACTAGGCAGAATCGCTCTACTTCTATTACAGTTCTACTATGTAACGCACAGCGGCTCTGGTCAAGTTAAGGCTGTGTTACGGTTTACTGGTGCACTACAGTAACACACGCATAAGCACCCGACGAGGTGAATTTCATCTGATAAGCAACATTCCATGGGTACCTTTTTGTATACCTGGATATATAAAACTATTGGCATAAACAGTATTCATCTTGGAAGAGGTGGTATCAATGAAAACCAAACTAACTCCTTAACATCCTTGAAAAAAGAGCTTTGAGACCAAAATCAGAGCATGAAGAATTTAGTGCAGGTTCAGGAAGAAACGCTACAGAAGAATAAATATTGTACAGCTTGTGTTTGTGGGCAAAAGTAATGCTGGAGCATTGCTAAGAATGTACAGGACAGCATGGGAAAGCTGGTAGTGGCACTGCTAGCAGCCCTAAAGTAAGCAGAATACTAAGCTTAGCAGGAGACTGAAACAACTACCAACTCAAGGCTGTCTCCTAGAGGAGAATATATACACACACCTTCTTAAATTCTGGGCTGTGCTTTTAGCATGCTCAGCTGACTGTAGCTTCCTGCAGCATCTAGTGCTGGGTCATCACGCAAGATGTCCTTTGACATGAAAAAACTAAAAGACATACAGTCTTACTCTGTTAGATTTCTAGTCTAGAACTGAATCTCATTGGTTTAAAAATTGATGATTTTTATCTGAGTTGAGCCTATACTGGGATTTCTTTAGGAACTGCTACACAAGGACTGGCCATTAGGTGTCACCTTTGTACAGAATATGTATGAACGTTCACCACTAAGTTAATCAATAAAACAGTTTGCATAATAAACCCCCCTGTATATCACGTTTTATAGAGCAAATAGAGCTAGCAAGCCAATCTATTTACAAGTTGTTCTGCAAAACAGCTAGAAATCCTTAGAAAACACCATTTCAGTGGATTCATTCAGGTACTCCTTGCAGAGCTTTATACTGAGTTGCTTACTAATCTAGTCAGGCTATACAGCTACAGAAATTCACGTGGTTTTATTTCAGTATATTTCTGTAGGCTAGAATACTCACTTATTTACATTGCTTTTCCAGCCCACAACTGGGGGTCGATTTCCTTAGAACGACAGAGGTCCTCTCCACAATAGAACTGATGGACAAACCACTTAAGATACCTTTGTTGTTCTTCCTCACTTCCAGCAAAGCATCCACAATTTTGTCTCTGTACAAATAAAAGAAATAACTGTTTACATCACGTTTTGTGCAATACATTTAGCACTTAGTTACCATGGATATTGGATCCATTACAGACCACGGCAGAAATGAAATCCAAATACTCTCACCTGCTAGCCTCTGGATGAATTTCTTGAAGGTTCTTCAGTAATTTGGTAAAGCTGCTCAAGTTCAACGTATTAGGAGAAATAAAGGCATCATATGAATTAGTGGAGAAAGGAGCAGATGTTTTCTGCACAAAATTTTCTCCAATATCCTAGAATTGCATCAAAATAAGTGAAAAGTGAATGAGTTAGGTATTGTACAAAGTAATACAACATATCTTTACTACTAATAAATATTCCTGTTACCGAAAAAAGAAAAAAATGACAGCTACAGATCAGTAAATTACTCTAATGCAGCCAGTCACATTATCCAGTCTGTAAATTAGAAATAAAACTACTACATGCATTTATGCGTAACTGACAGTCCTGCAACATTAAATGAGATCTGATTTATATTTCCCAGAGGACTAGCATGTTTAAAGTTAAATCCCCAAAGGTAGCATATCGATGTAGTTTATGAGAGCAACACCAGTAATTACTATCTTTGCCTGCTCCAAGAACCAACCTGAGACAATTAAAAAAAAAATTTAAAAAATAAATATTTCTACATACGATCTTTCTTTAGATTTGTATTTAAAACCCAGGAGTTTCCCCTCTAATATTCCAAAAATCTTTCCTGTGTAAAATCAGAAAATATTCACATAAAAAAAAAAAAAAAAGAAAAAGCATTGGAAGTGGAAACTTAAAAGAGGAGAAAAACAAGATGAAAAATCTAGTGCAAATGGCTAGGTTCCCAACTGGCTTAGGATTAAGAAAAAAAGATGGAATATCACAATTTGATGCAGGGGCACAATTTGATGCTGCACTCTTCTGCAGCATGCCAGAAATTTATTACTGACACATAACATGTTTTCCTATCCTAACGTCATTCCCTCTATATACTAAATGTAACACGTATGGGACAAGAACTTTTAAGGCTCTTAATCTGCCATATCAAGGAGCCTTAGTAACAATTATTTACCTTTTGATTAACTCCAAGGAAATAATGTACCGAATCTTCAGTAGCTGATTTTGGAGCAAGGCACTTTGTTTCTGAAGGTACTTGCGTAGAGCAAAAAATTTTTGAAGCAGTAATGGGAAGGAGATGCATTTTCTCTGAAGCACAGGTGGCATCAGGTGCTTTCATGGAATTGGAGGCTGAAGTGAATGTTTTTTCTTGATCATTTCTTTGACTGTTATCAACAGGTTGGATTTCATGCCAAAGCTTATCTGTATGTACTTGGGAAACCAAAGATTTATTCTCTGATGAAGTATTTACACGTTTAACACTTGCTGGTTTTCCTTTTATTTTTTTCTCGTTTATTTCCTTTACAGCTAACTTGGCTTTATTAGTGTCTCTAAAGGAAAGAAATAGAAATCTAAGGCATAAATTTAAAAGAAAAAAGAAATAAGTAAAATGCATATTAAATTACTATCAGTAAGAACACATGATGGCTTTCATCTTTTGAATGTTAACTGTATCTCCATTACACTCAACAGAGTATTTCGGACTCCTTGACTTCTCATAAGACGAGAAACTGTCTGGAATGACAAGTTTTTGTCAACCTATCTATTAATGTATCCACATTAATTGCCGAAACAAATTAATGAACAACTCCCTCCTCTCTCCCAGGATTTGCTTACTTTGACCAAAAACCAAATCTGAAACAAGTGAATCTTATATTAATATACCTGCAGTTACTAGAATCCACAGAGGTAAGAGTGTCAGAAATCTGATACTTCTGGAAATGAGATCTTAAATCACCCTATAAAATAGAAGCACATTTGGTTGGAAATGTTTAGTATGAAAGAATTCAGAAACGAGGCATGACGTTACTACTACTATGTAAATAAGAACAGGCGTACCTCTGACACTGAGGAACTTAGGCCACCAACGTGAATAAAAGAACTCTCATTTCCACTCTCCGTTATCTTCACTTCTAATAACGTAAGAAAGCGAAGTGTTACTAACTTGTTTTAGTTCACACTGATGTCTTCTCTGTAGATTTCGGAACGCATAGATAGAAAACTTTTAAAAAAACCTAAAAGAATGAAGAGTATCTTCTAACAGAAAATTAGTGTCCTGAGAAGCAGAACAGTTCAGTTTGTGAAATCTCTTTTCCCTGAGCATTTCCCGAGGTTTGAAGAGGCAGAAGAGGTACAACCAGAGAAAAGACTGGTCTGAACTAAGAAGTCCCCGTGGTAAAGCATGGGTAGCGTAGAAGCTGCCATTATGGGGAAGGAAACAGAACAAGGAGGAAGAGAAAAAAAGAAAGATTTTGGCTGGACATTTACTAAATTGAGTTCAACCACTGTAGGTAAAGTTTTCAAGGAAAAACGTGGATGGAGAGAGCTGAATATCTGTACAAGCATTCACTGCAAGTCAATGAAAAAAAAAAAGTCTGACAACACAGCTAGCATTTTTTTCCAAGTTTACTTATGCTGGCAGAAGGAACAGAATACTGAAACAATAAACAAACACCGTTATTAGGTATGGCAGCTTAAAGTGCACGACCTCACCTCTTAAATCAACTGTGTCTTGCTTTTCTTGTTGCTTTTTTGTTTCTTCAGATATTACTGAAAAATCTGCTACTGTCAAGTCCTCCTCAGCATCAAACCAATATTCATTCCCTTCTTCATTTTTCACACAGCCTTGACAGTTGAAATAAATTTCAGTGTGTTAAAATTCAGACCGTGGTATGTCATTTGAGTAAATATTAAATTTCTGTGCTTAAGAGGATTCCAGCTACCTACATGATTTGGTGCTACATTATGAAGAGCTGACACACAAATCCGAAGTGAAAACTTGTAAGGAGCAAAATTTTTTTTCAAGATGTAAAGTATAACATAGAGCTGATATAATGTTAACCATTCCATCACAGAAAGGACAGAGTATCCATATATGCATTTTACACAGGGTTTGTGGGTTTTCTCCCAACAACTTAACTAACAAATAATGTAGTATTTCTACTAAAAGCAGATCGCTTACCACGTTCCACGTCCTGATCTTTATGTTGTTCTTCAAATGTCTTGGAGGAAGCAGAGTCACTTGGCTGACCGCCATCAGTTAAACATACCGTCTGTGGATTGTCCTACAAAGATGTTTCAATTATGTCACAGCCCTTGCACCTGATCATATGTTATTTTTCTGAACTTCAGAATATTAATTGATTAAGCAGGTAAATTTTTAAAACTTAACCTACTGATCGCCTTCAAGAACTCCCAAGTTATTTTATTTTGAAAGGACAACCGAAATTCTGGTTGCATCAGCTGCATTTGCAATTACTGTTAGAAGATCCCAGCTTGAGCCCTGAAGACTGCGATTGTATTGGCATATACCGAAAAGGAGACTATGCTTCACAACATTACTGTCTATGAAACTCAGTAATGAGGAAGTCCCTACCATGTTGACAGAAATTTTCCTTTCTTGCAGTTTTGATGCTTCGAAGTCAGCTTTTCCTGCATCTGAAACAGAACTAAGAGAGATCCAAGAATTTCATATAAAATATGACACAATTTAAAATTCTATAATGATACAGAGTACTACTCTGAGATAGAAATTCGAATGTTTCCAAAAGCTCACAGTAAAAGAAATAAAGTATGCTTAATAAACCTGAGCTTAAAATGAGATCCAAAGTTTTTTGATACTCGTATTTTATAAAAGCATTGGTTGTAACCTGAAACATGAAGCTATGTTCTAGCTTTATGGTAGGCTGGTTTTTGTTTATACCTAGACAACTTTCTGTGTGATGTTAAGATGTATGTCTTCACAATTTGAAATCTCCATGCAATTTTTGATTAATTTTACTAATGCTTAACAAGAAATTTGAAAAAGATCTCTAGGTTTTTTGTTTGTTTTTTTTTTCACCTGATGCCGTACAAACTTATTGCCAAATATGTTTTAATCGCCACTTAGATAAAGTAACTGGACATGGTTCTTGAACATGCAGTACCGTATGTTTGCCTGAACTATGAAGTCATTTTTCTATCATTCTCCATTATCAAATTATAACCTTAGCAGAACAGCTGCTTATATGCCTAATATTATCTTTGTTGGTAGCAAAGTCTTTTTGTTTTCGTTGTTTTTTTGTTTGTGTTTGTTGTTTTTGTGGGTTTTTTGTGGCTTTGGGGTTTTTTTTAAGACAGATAGCATTAAGATTAGAGACAAAGATTTTTAGTAGGAAAAGTAAGGAACCAGGAAAATTACCTGTAAATTGAAAATTTTTGCTATGAAGTTAGTAAAAATATACCTCTATAGTTTACATATTAGAACACTACAGAGAAAAACATCCTTAAAATAAAATCACTGTACCCAAAGTGCTATGCTAGGCTTTCAGCTAAATAGTCTGCAGAAACAAGATACATCCTGAAATAAAGAAATTCTAAAATTAACATCTTTTAAACTCATTTCTCATTTATTTTGAGCTTTAATAAATACCATAAGTGAGGACTACTTACTCATAGCAAAGATCCTCTCTGAACAACTGCCAAAAAAGAAAAGATTTGTCTTAATTTTTTTTGACAAGAACAATTTATATTAAAACCAAAGAAATTAAGAATTTACCTTGCACGGGATATAAGAGGAGGAGATTGGGAACAACTTCATCTCAACTGATAGCGGTGGAAGTGCATTTAAAGGTATGCCCACTTTTATTTTCATTCTCATACTGTTGTAATTCTTTTTTAGCTCTTCCAAAACCAACATGAGAGATGAACCTAATTCAGTATTTCCATTACATCTGTTAAAATACGTATAAGTAAATAAGATCAATTTAGACTGACATTTCATGTCTTTTATTGCTTCCAGAAGTGCCCGAACAGGAGTGCACAGCAGCTCTCTGGAGCCGTACTGTGTTCCACAGCACTACCAGGTGCTCTCCTGAACCCTCTCCTGAGCTATGGAGCAGACACTACGGCAGTGAGATTTTATAGCGACCCGTGGCACAGTGAAGCGTTTAATTCAACTTGGTTGAATTCCAAGTTCGTTACAGGGCGTACGGTTTATCAGCTAGAGACTCTGCAGTCGCCATCCCCTTCCTCCCTCCCTCAACTCTTAACAATCCCCCACCTCCTCTCTCTTTCTCTTTTACCACCTCCTCCCCTCTATGCATCTCATCCGCTCCTGAACAGATTCTCTGTACTATTTATTCCTTCTGTACAGAAAGACATTCCTGGAAACAAACTGGTTTTTGCTGGGTCTGTGAATGCTACAGAAAGTTTTAGGCTGAAAATAAGACTTGGCAGTTATAAGCATGTAAAGTCTTTCGGACAACAATGCTAACTATAAACGCTGTTACAAGCTATGCATAGAATACATCACTAGTATTTAGCAATTAATGCCTTTTAACCAAGTTATCCATTTCATTTAAAAGGACATTAAAGTACATGCCTGCTTAAACACGTGTTTTCCTCCAAAGCCAGTTTGTAAATCTTCAAGCAGTGCTGATAACACATCTGATAATGAGTGTTTAGAATCTGCAATTCCGCTTCAATAGCTCTCTGCAGTATTTTTTGACAGTAGCTTGATGCAGAATTCTTCACAGCTTGTTTGTCAAGGCATACCGGCCTTTAAAATAACAATAAACAAAGGTTTGAAGCCCTTGAATCAATATTTTACATTCATTATGCTTTATTTTCGAACAAGTAGCTTTCCAAAAGCTATTTCCGATATGATTTAAGGAAAAACAAGAAAAAGTGAAATCAGTTCCTCCTATTTACTACACAGAAAAAATGATGCCTTATAGTAGCTTTCACATTATAATCAGCCTTAACGGAGAGGCAGAAACTGCACGAGCACCCAAATAATTTCTCCCCAGATAAGTGAGGTCGTAAGAACAAAAAGAAACTTAACAACTCTGTTGATCTACAGACGCACTTATTTTGTTTCCGCAGTCACAGAATAATTTTGGTTGGAAAGGATCTCTGGAGGTCTGCAGTACAAACCTCTGTTCGAAACAGGGCTAGCTTCAAAATTTGCTCAGGGTCTTAGCCAGTCCAGATTTTCTGTTGTTTTGTTTGTTTTAAATCTCCAAGAAAGGACACAGTACCATCTCTCCAATCCTCTTCCAATACTACTTTCACTATAAAAAGCTTTTTCTTACACCCACATAGAATTCTCCTCACTGTAACTGCTGGCTCTTGTGTTTTCAACACACCTCTGCAACGAATCAGTCCTCTCTGCAACCCACCAGCAGATTGCCACAAACTGCAGGGAGGTTCCCCACCTCCCAGCCTTCCCTTCTCCAGGCTGACCAAGCCCAGTTCCCTCAGCTCTCCCCACACATCAGGTGTTCCACCAGCTCTCCTCACCACCTCCACGGTCCTCTGGTGGACTTTCCACAGTTTGCCCATCTCATTCTTTCACTACAAGGGCCACAGCTGGAGATACCTTCCTAGATGTGACCTCACGAGCACCAAACTGAGAAGAATCAACACTTCTTGCTAATGCGGCCCCAGGATGTGGTTCCCCAACTCTGCCATCTGGGAGCACTGCTGACTTACACTCCACTTGTTCTTGGCCAGTCTGCAACTGCAGATCAAAGCTATTTTGGTCTTTGTTCAACTTCAGGGAGCCTTCAGCTCATTCTTCTTGCTCGTCCAGGTCTCTCTGAAATGCAGCCCTACCCTCCAGCATAGGAGCCGCTGCCCAGCAATCTTTTAGTACCATCAGTTTTGCCAAGTCACAGGCAACCTTTCAAGCATGAAAAAAATCTTACCCAGCACCTAGAATTCCAAACCAAGAACAATTCGTGACCCACCTGTCCGTGCTTTTCTTTAAGTCACTGCTACAAAGCTCGTTTTTTGATTCCTGAAAAAACAACAAACATTTTAAAAAGTTACAGAATAACATTTGTATAGACAAGTTCTGAGCAACTTTAAGTTAAGAAAAATTCTATATATCAAAATTGTTTGGTTGTGGTTTTGTGGGTTTTTTTGGGTTTTTTTTTTTAAATTACCTGAATTTGTGAACTTCTTTCAGCTGTTGCAATATTGCCACCTGCATGTTCTTGCAGCATGCCAGTAAGCTGCGACCAAATTTCCTCCATACTACTGGCTCCACATGACCAGTCTGTATTGCAAGCAACATCTGCACAGGTTTCACGATGCCATCCCACGGGTCGAGATTTGATCATCGTTATCTCTGTATTAATAGCCCTGGACAGGAGACAAACCTCAGCACTGGTACTTCTGCTTGTTGTAAAGCAAGCTCTAAAATCAGAACTTGCATCAACAGCCTGGTTAACTGTAGAGTCACTGGTAACGTTTTTCAAGTTTTCACAACGCTCAGAGTTCTTGCAGCTGGTATTTCCCCCGGAAGATTTATCTGCAACTTCCACCCCAAAAAAGGGATTCTTCTGAGTGGGAGTTTCAGAGATTGGAAATTGGGTTTCAGCATCCTTCGCAGTGCAGTCAGTGCAGCTGGCACCACACGCGCACACGTCAGATTCTTCACAACCGTAGAAATCAGAGTCCCCTGTACATTCACAAAATTGCATGGCTACTGCGGGGGCCCTTTCCCGTAGTGATGGCAAGGGATTTTCTTGCTTCACTGAGAAGCTGTGAATGCCTCTGGCATTGTTTTCAGACACTTCTTCACTTGTAGCTGTTTGGGGTGGCAGTGTGCTGTCAATCAGTGGGATGTCTTTCACCTCTCTGTTTTCTAAACTGTCACATACTAGCAGATTTGGATAGACCTTTTCTTTATTCCCACAAGAATGACTTTCAAGTATAGTTCCACAAACAGCACTATGATACTCTGTCTGCTCTTCCTGATGATCACAAGCCATGCCATTGCAAAGCAGTGGAGACAGGTGGGGAACCTCTGGCATAGCTGCTTCTGGGCAGGTTTGGTCACCTACGCCATACCCACCAGCAGCAGAACAATCTTCTGACATGCCAACGATACTTTGTTCCTTTGCGACTCCAACCCCTGGAACTGCATGAGCTGGATCTATCAGCTTTAAGGTTTCAATTCCTATAGTTTCCCTTTGCTCAGAAAACTCACCTGAGCTATTCCTATCATCAAAATCTTGCTCCTGAGCACTGAGATACTCCAGCTGTGAATCTTCACCTAAATGGCTTTGTCTGCAATCATCACACACACCACAATTAACGTGTGTATTGTCACATGCCCTTCCCAACATAGCAGCTTCTTTCTTGCTTTCATCTACCTGTGCACAGCACATTCTCATTCTGTTTTTATTATACGTTTCAATATCTGCATCTAAAGATGAACTTAGATAAGGTAAGCTTTCCTCTGATAACTTTAATTCTGAAACATTGACAGAACGTGCCTGGCCAAAATCAGAGTGGTTGGCTCCTGCTATGACGTCTCTGACGAGCATGTGCTCAGCTTCCTCAGAGTAAGAGAAAAGATGCGAGGTCTGATTGAAGCATCTCCTTTTGCTTTTAACATCGGTCTTCTTTTCTAATTCCATAGCACAAACACTTAAATCCTCCTCCTCAGAATTAATCCACACGACTCACTTCCGCTGCAACCTCTCAAGGGTGTCAGCTTGTCTCTTCCTATCAGTTTCTCACTTTAATAAAAATTAAAGAGAGGTTTGAAATACTCCATGTTATGCAAGAGGACATTACTGGTTAAAAAATATGTTAAATTAGCCATCTTATTTTTATCTACGGCATGCTAGTACAGAAGCTAGGAATTATACGGTACATTCTCAAAGAAATCCTAAAAGCTCACAGAAGGCTGTTAAAAGAATTTGCTGTTCTTGCTCGTGTCATTTCAATTGAGTAAAAGCATCCTTAGAGACCAATCGATCCTATTTTCTTATACTCTTGGGCAAAGTTTCCATCCTCTTACCACTGCAGCATTTCTTGGCTGAATCATCAGAATCCCTGTGGATACACAGCGAGCTATTTACATCATATGCTAACTTCATGACAGCACACAGAGTGTTTAGATGCAGGTACTGACTCAGAGTCGGGATGCTGATGGGCACGGATTCAGTGACCGCAAACCGACCTCACATCATTCCCGATTGTATTCGGGCCTGTAAGCACTCCTCGCCACAGAAAGCCTACCGCTTCTTGATCCATGACCAGTATATTTACTGTCGGAAACATTCTCCAGTCCAGCAGCTATGAAATTTTAAAAACTATTTAAATGAGTGAAGAGGTGAACTTAGAGCTCTGTGCCTCCCAAGAACTAAAAACCCTTCAGGAGGTAGACAAGGGGGAAACCGAAGCATATTCCTTTTGATTCTATGGCAACAAGAAGAAATGTTTATCAAGCACAGAACTGTAAGAAAACCTGAGAATCTCTACAACCAAGAACATAAGGGAAAACAGGAAGATCGTTTCTTGGATCAGAATGCTTCTTTTAGTGAAGAAGCAAGCTGGACAATACACCAAAACTTTTCCCCGCTCTGGGCATGACCAAACCTAATTTTATAGCAAACATGAATTAAAAGCAGAGAAAAAGCACTTTAGGGATGGATACACTCTTTGTGAAGCTTGTTTCTTTTAAATGCTGGTCGGTTCTTCTCTGCCTTCTCCCAAAGTTTATAATGAAAAGAGGGATACATACAAACGTTAGATATATTTCTCAGTTGCGTATGCTTTCTGAACTACTGACATGAAACCTCACAATTTTATGTTATAGTCTCAGGTCTCTAACCTGACCATTATCTTACATAAAGCACAGCAAAATACAGTCCTGCCTGTAACTCTTCTCCCTGCAAGGGCAGGCAGAGCAACCAACTCGGGTTGGGGGGGAGAAGCAGTTTCGTACTCTCCTAAAAAAACCTGCGACACAAGTCTCTGGTTCATCCTCCAGAGGAAGTTTCCAGCGCGGCAAAACAGAATCTGTAAGGAACCGAGAGAAGTTCTGAAGTGCCACACAGGCTGCTGGTGGAGACTGGAAACTCAGGGCTGTTTCCTGGCCACTGCTTTGGGATTTACACACAAGTTACACAAGCCCTGTCCACTCCAGACATAAACGGTGTGACCCAGGCCTCGTATCTGCATGGGAAGGTTTGCAGAACAGAGCCCTGAGAGAGAGAACTTTGTGACAGGCCTTTCCCACAGGGAACAATGGCTTGTCTCGCCAATCTGCATCCACGGGTTCTCCCCCACTAAGGGGCATCATTAAAATTACACCCTTTAAAATCACCTCATAAAAATCATTTAAATCATTTAACATGCTATCAATAGGAGTCGGTCACTCTCAAAAAAACCAAACCAAACCAACCACCTTGCCGTGATTTTATTATGCACTTCTATAGTTATTTTTGTTTCAAAAACATTAGCTTTCTTATTGCACTAACTTTACTTTCGTCTCCTAACTGAAGTTTTGAGCAACTGTTACCTGTGAAATTAAAAACCTTACCATATCACTACCAAAGCACGTCTCAAACGCCTACACGTAAATCACAACATATTATCACAGAGAAATTACGTGTGTGTCCCCCAACTTTCTCCTTAAGAACAAGTTAAAAAACAAGAACCACAACAGCTCTATCTACGTCCTAGATAAATAACAATACCCTTGTTGTTACCACTAAGCCAAGCCGGTTAGAAGTCAGCAGCGGAGAGCCACAGCCGAGCCCCCGGGGAGGAAGCCCTCAGAGCAGCCCGGTGTCCCCGCTCGGCCAAAAAGAACCCCCAGGCGGGGAACCGCGGCTCACCGCGCTCACCCCGGCTCCAAGGAAGGCTGAGCAACCTTCCTGACGCCCTAAACGCGGGCGGCGGCCCGTCCCCCCCTCCCGTAACGGCCCCGTTCCAC